CTCTCTCTCTCTCTCTCTCTCTCTCTCTCTCTATATATATATATATATATATATATATATATATATACATCTCATCTATCTATAAAGAGGGCCATATCTTACAGAAGGCTCAGGAAACTCTCCCATGGTACTGCTGAAAACAGTCCTCCTATAACCCTCCATAAAGAGCGGACATAAAAGATGTGCTTGGCTGTTCACTAAGCACCTGGAGGTTATCTGAAGTTAAGAGCAATTGGATTATATTGCCCATCCCACCCTTCTGTCGTCTCCTTCTGATACTGACCATAGGTTGCTCTCCTGGGGAGGGCTGAAGGACACACGAGGGGAGGTCTCTAACTCATTTCATTACTCCTTATTATATGACCGAGTCCCTCTAGTATGTGTTCACTCTATTATATCTATGCCTGTTGGAAATATTTGTAAGCCCCATGAATATATATACACCAATTGAAAAACATATTTACTCTCTGGGTTCTGAGATTGGGTCAAGGAGTCTCAGGGACCCATTTTGTCTGTCTATCTTATTTTCCACAATCACAAACTCACTCCTAGGAACCCATTGGACTGTTGGGGGCCAGTACCCAAACATCTTCACCTTTTAAAAATGCTATTATTTTCATGATTATTCCATAGAGATGAAAGCTAAATCTACTAATTAAATTTTATAAACTAGCTGTATGAAAATTGTTTTTTTTTCAAAAGGTATATAAGTGAACTTGGCATAACATATACCCAATATTTGAAAATAGAGCTTCACCATATCAAATTTTATTTTACAAACCACTTGACAGAGGAAGCTTTAGATATGTATCCCCCATTCACTAAAAAGGGAATTCATTTTTACAAAAAATTGCTTCATATGTAAGTTTTAGTTTTATTGACTTAAAGTAATGGTGGTCATAATTAGTCTAATGGCTTTTATCTATGAAATACAGTGCATTTTTGCCAAATTCCAAATAGCTGCCCAATATTCTCCTGATTGTATGATGTCTTGAGTCTGAAGGGAAAAAATTAATTTTGAATTTTAAAAGATTTATTACATCTTTCATAAAAATCTCTTAGTTTAACTCATTGAAATTTCCATGGTTTGAGATAAAATTCAATTTATAAGTCTAAATTTGTTAAATGTTTAATACAATAAGCTTTTCAACTGACTAAAACTAAAACAAGCACTGGGTGAGAGTTAAATGATTTGTTACAGTAACTTATTCATACTCACGTAAGCACTAAAAGCTCAACTTTGTATTTTCAAAGATTATTAATCCTTCCCATCATCAGTTTTCCTTTCTTACAGTTTCCATGCCACCACCAACCAAAGATGCTGCTTATTTCCCCCATCTTAAAAATAAAGCCTCTTGAGCCCCCATCATTGTCTTCCCCCAGCAGTAATTTGCTTCTCTCCTCACAGGAAACAATCTTGAAAGTATTTTCTTTATTCACAGTGTCCAATTTCTCTTGTCGTATTCTCTCACTTGCATCAACCCTGATAAGTGTTTGCTCCTCCCCAGTTCCCACCCCCAAACACTGCTCAGCCAGCTTACAAAGACGTATATGGTTCTAAATCTACCTAATAGATAGAAATCTATTTAACAAGTATCTCACACTTAACCCCAGATAATGTCTCTTCTTCTGGAAACCTGCTACCTCTAGCATTCTTATCTACCTCATATTTGGATGTTTGGTTGTTTTAATTGCTCAGCTACAAACGTGTCTCCTCTTCTTAGCTCCCACATTTAGTCTGTGATAAAACCCTATTGAAACTAAAAATGTATATAGAATTGGACTATACTTCCACTACCACCAAGCTGGTCTGAGTTACTATAATTACTCGGCGTAATTATTAGAGTCCCATCCTGGTCTCTGCTTTGGCTCTTGAAGCCTTTGAAGCCTCAAAACAACAGTCAAAGAGATTCTGCTCAGTGTAGTCAGACTATGTTGTTCTTTGGCTTAAAGTCTACCAGTGACTTCTCCTTCTCTCAGAGCCAACAAACTCACCATGCCCTGCAGGGCTGGCATAATGGGCTTTCATGTCACTTCTCTTACTTCATCTTTGGCTACTCTGTTTCCATTCACTCAACTCCAACCCAACTCATCTTTTCAATATGCCTCATAGTAGACATCTTTCAACTCCTTACACAGACTCAATACATTTGTACTTGTTTACAAGAATATCCTCATTTTTTTTACTTAGTTTTCTTCTCCATAGCCTTAAGGCTATCAAATATATTACATAGTAAATATTTTGTTTATAAATTTTGTTTGTATTTGATCTCACTTACTAGAATGTAACCCCCCAAAAGCAAGATCTTAATTTGCTTTTTTCACTGATAATTTCCCCTGGACCTTGTCACCCTCATGAACCATAATACTGCCTGTCATCAGATAGATGAACAATAAATAATTGACATATGTATGAGGCAGTTCCTCCTGGTTACACCAGTCTACACTGATATATTTAACTTGGGAGACAAAGTACTTAATTATCCATGTATTTCATTTGCTAATAAACCAAACTCTAAACTCATTGTCATCAAGCCAATTCTAACTCATAGTGACCTTATAGGACAGAGATAAAGTGCCTCTGTGGGTTTCAAGAGCTATGCATTTATTTTGAAATTCTGTCAAAGTACCCTGCAGATTATCTTTCATTCACTTATTTAATTAAAAGCTTGTCAAATGCTTATTCTTACACAGCACAATGGTCTATACACAGTGGTGTATAAGGAAATTAGTTGTAAAAATAAATAAACAAACAAACACATAAATAAGCCTTGACCTTTTTTGTTCAGATTTCCTTGGTCTAAACACTCTGGCCATATTTTCAGCCGTCAATGTGCTACCACTGAATATTGAGTTGGGAATAGATGAGCACTGTAGGCTAGTAGCCAACTCTCACACATGACTGTTTGTACAGAATGGGTACCTAATAAAGGCTGCATAAGTAACCAGCACAAAAATCACCATTATCATTCAACTCTAATTGTAGGAACTCCAAAAGTCATACCAAGGTAACTAGAAGGCAGAAAAAATATATATGTGATACGACTCCAGCAAAGGAGAAGAAAAACAAAAGAAGAAACATTTCCATTTATACTTATAATACTTTGGCCCTGGGAGTTGATCGCTCACCAGACAGGAAAATTAGATCAGACATATATTTGTGCATATGTTATGTGATATATTTTTATATCAGACAGAGGCACGAGAAACATATTCCTCTGTGGGACTCTAGTCTTCTAAGCCATATGTGCATGGCTATATTTTCTGACTCATTACTGTTTTAAGACAGTGTAAGTCTTTCAGGGGCAAACCTTGACAAGCGTATCTTAAGCAGTACAGTACATACCGAGAGGCATCATGCAATGTTCCGGGAACATTTCCAGAGCACTCTTCAATTTCTCTGTGTCTTGTAAAAGTAACAGCGTCTTCATGTGATCCAGAATGAACACATCTGAAGGAGACATGCTGTGAGATTCAAGACGTCTAAAGAGGTCTTCAGTGGTTTCCGTGAAGAGAGTTGAATCTGAATCTTTGGAGGCACCTAAACAAAGTCAGTAAGGTGTAGAAATATAAATTTGAGGTTTCTTTTAATAAACCACAGATAAACATTTACCTATCAGGGAAAGCCCTGGACATATGTTTCTACTTAGGATGAGGTATTTGCATTACTAAAAAGAACCAGATATAATCAGAAAAGAACTTTGGAAAGTTGACAAGAGGACAACAAATTAATACTTGTTGAAAGACAATGGAAGCCTGAACCGCTTTCTATGTCAGGGTACACATTCCAACATATACAGCATGAAGCTAAAATGTATGACAAGCAGCAGGACACATTTAGGTCACGTTACGTAAAAAAATAACATAAAAAGAATAGTGCTCGGCATTTAGGACAAAACAAGGAAAAATTTAAAAAGAAGACACTAGCTTAAGTTGTTTCTATGAAAAGATCAACCATGAGTCTTTTGTTGCTCCTGTAAATATCTTTTTTTCTTTTGATCTATTAAAAAGAATATCTTTATTGTTTTCTTTATTACTGGTTTAAATGTTAAACTTTTCTTCTTGAACATGTTAGTCATAGCTATTTTTAAATGTCTTGTATGATAACCTCATTATTTTCTATAAACAGTAAAAACAAACCCGAACTTGTTGCCACTGAACCTGTTCCCATTCACGATGACATTTCAGGACAGAGTAGTCCTGGCCTGTAAAGGTTTCTAGGTTTAAGAGAGAAAACTGCTACATTGTTCTCCCCCAGAGTGGCTGGTGGACTCAAATCACCAGCTTTTGGGTTACTAGCTGAGCCCTGAGTCAACAGGGCTCCTTATTTGTGCTGGTGTATTTCTTTTTCTTTTTTTTTTAAATCGTTTTATTAGGGGCTTATACAACTCTTATCACAATGCACACACACATCAATTGTGCAAAGCACATTTGTACATTCATTGCCCTCATCATTCACAAAACATTTGCTCTCCACTTAAGCCCCTGGCATCTAGTCCTCATTTTTCCCACTCCCACACTACACCACACTCCCTCGTGAACCCTTGATAATTTATAAATTATTATTTTGACATATCTTGACCTGTCCAACGTCTCCCTTCACCCACTTTTCTGTTGTCCATCCCCCAGGGAGGAGGTCACATGTAGATTCTTGTAATCGGTTC